AGATAACAAGAATTCACTGAGTAGTCATCAGATCTAGGACCCGGGTTGACATATAAACCTAAACCCGCTATACTACGCTTTAGGGAGTGGTTACACTTGGCCAATTCCTGGAGTGACAGTAGAGTCGAGTCAAGCTACGGATATTATTGTTCATGAGTGGCTTTACTTTCATCACTTCTTGATTGTGTTGATACTATTTATGATCGAAGTTGGGGCATGAGTCTGAGACTCTCCCCAATTTTGGACTCCAAAAAGTCATGAAAAAGGTGCTCGCGTTTTGAAAAAAGTTTTGGAAAAAGTGTTTCATGTGAGAGGCGATCAGTCATATTATTTTAATTAACCTATCAAATGGCTTCTCTTTTGGATAGAAGTGCCATTTGAGGATGCGTTTTTAGAGAAATTATGAATAACTTTCTAGCATCCAACCTCCACCCTACTACCTTTCCCATGTTTCTCTGAGGACGCTCCTCCTTACGGACTTCATTCAGAAGTTAAATCTCATGCTAGATGCTTCTTCTTGTAGAGTTAAGAGACGCTTCTTCTGAATATCTCGCATGTGTGGCAACTCGTCTATCGTCTAGACGAGAGTGCAGGTCGGGAATTGGTGCTTGAGAGAACCAGACTTACCATCTGCAATGCTTAACCTACCTAAACCCTTCCATCCTCTTAACCATCATTTTCCACACATGAAAAGGGAAGTGAATGTTGCTTCCGCTCTCGCCCCGCGATCGAACCCTTGTCTTGCAAATGCAAATGTGGTGCCATGTTCGTCAAAGTTAAGTTGAGGCTCAAAGTATGAGACCTCTTTTGAAAAAAAGTAGAAGAACCACCATGGAATTCATTGATTTTCACATGTTTTCTTGAGAGTCCCCTAGTGCACAAGTCAAGTGTCTAGACCTCTTTAGTCGACAATGTCCTCATTTGAGAGTGTGTTGTCACATAGAGATGGACGTAACATTTTCTCGTCTTTGATTGTCCTAGAGGTGCTACCAAAAAGCTATAGTGCATACTATTGTGAGTTTCTTGCATGTTGCACTATTGTGAGTTATGTTTGTCTGGGGACGAGCAAATGACTAAGTATGGGGAAGTTTGATTCAAGCCATTCTATACATGTTTTTACCCCCTTTGACTTTGTCATTTGACTTGTATAGCATCGTCCTTGGAGTTATTTTACTCTATGTTTTATCTTGTTTTAGAATAGTTAAGGCTCTAGCAGGTGAAATAAGCAAAAGGATCGAAAGTCAGACGAAAGGGAGAGAAAATGGGGAAAAGTGCTGGAAATTTCATGGATCACGGTTCATGGGTGACGGACGATAGACCATGAAGATTATAACAAAACTGTGAAGAACGCAAATTTCCAGTAGCATTTGGACTTCTTGTACGCATTACATGGATCACGTGTGTATGATGTGAAGAATACAACAAAACCATGAAGGGTGTAAGTGAAATAGCGCTTTTTGCGCTAAGATCATGGTTTCACTGCACACATCATGGGCATGACGGCAGACAGTGAAATGTGCACTGTCGGGTATAAATATGAGAATGAGTAGATTTCCAAAGCAGAGGAGATTTTTCGAGAGAGATTTAGATCTTCTTCTGCAATCTAGAAAGAAAGCGACGAACAAAAAAATTGGATAGGAATTTGACCAATCCAAGATAAAAAGAGGTCAGATTTCATCTTCAACGCCATCCCAAGCAACTAGGAAGAAGAAAGAAAATAATCATTCCATGGGGCTTTCCTTCTCTTTAGTTGTAGTTCTTTCTCTAGTTATGGTGTAATTCTCATCTCACTTAGATGATGTGAACCTTAGTCTAGGATATTGTAGATGATGATTGTGAACTCTATTTTGTGATTGACATGTTTGACTATATATTGATTGCGTATTTATAATGATAATTGAGAGACCTTTATCAATTCCCTCAATTTCGGGGCTAATTGACCTATGAGAGAGAATGTCTCCTTAGCATAATTTGGGGCACTATTCAATCATCGTTAACAAGGGTGATTGGTTTCTTTCCTTCGTTCTGGGTCTTCACCCGATGGAGTTGATTTGGTTGCCCTAATTGCCTAATCAGGTAGTTCGGTACGTCTCTCCAATGCAATTAGGCAAGTTAGGACAACTCTAATAGGGACTCCTAATTAGCTTTGATCTTTTAACGGTATATATAATATGCAAATCACGATAAAGTATCACATCATCGACTCAACACGGGAATAGGGGGATAATCATCCGAGTGAAGCTTTCTTCCTTGAATTCAACCTAGTTCAATAGCTTAAAACAACATTTCTACCAGTAGATGATTGTGGTTTGCTATAGTAAGTATACATATAAATCGCCCTAGTTTGATTATTCGAAAAATACTTGCTCTATACTACTCCAATTGAGGCTCCAGTTGGCCTTCAATTGGGAGTGTTGTTAGAACTGCGTCACTCCCCCCATTTCGATAAAAAGTTCTTCTCTAATCTTTATATAGCCTTTCTTCCCAATTTTCAATGAATATCTTCTCAAAGTTATGATTATTGAAGATAGTTGCAAAGTCTAATTTGTTTTCGATGCTAGAAATCTATATCATATGTTCACTTCCTTCTATGATTATTTGTTAACTGTTCTCGTTTGCATACTAATTGGGTTTATTCTATTGTTCATTTCAAGAGTATTTGGTGAGTGATTATGGCTAAAGACTTGGACAATTAGCTAGGTTTATGAGGTACCTCATCTTTATTTTTTATTTTGTTATCATTAGACTTAGACCATGTTTATTAGTTGAATATTTTTTTTATGAATTGTGGACAATTACTAATGGTTATATTGTAAGCCAAATGATGCATCTGATTTATGGTTTAAATGTTATTTAGTTTGAAAGTTTTTTTCTTACGATTTTAGAACAATATGAATTCAATGAAATTTTTAGAATGTATGTATTAAACCCACCCAACTCACCCACAGGTACATGAATGAGTGAGTGTGAGTCGTTTTAGGAAAACATCTCACGTAGGGAGTGGTTCCAAACCAATCCAAATCCGCAAAAGACCACCCACTGCTCACCCCTACTATTAAGCATCTCATTAAATTAACTTTATATCTTACTACTTCTTTTAAAAAAAGTGAAAAACATAAGTTGGAGTCTTTTCTTCCGATCTCCAAATTTCATACAATTTTCTAGTATTATTTAAAAATAAAATGAAAAATGGAACTCATACTAACTCTCAATAAATTTATTACACTTCATTTAGGGAGAAAGGAAAACAATCAACTCACAAGCGGTTAGATAAATTAATAATGAGTTTGTTATACTAGAATTTGTGGCAAGTCCAAATAAATCTTTCTTGAAATTTGGTGGAGTTTCTCATAGACGTTAAAGTTAATCAGGTCCATCACATTGACACATTTAGTCGATCTCGGGTTTGGATAGACAACCTGCATCAACAAATTAGTTCGACCCATTTGTGCATTATTAATTAATGTTTTTTTTTTATACCCAGGAACCTCAGCCCCACGTGCCACTTTGTGACAGCGGGTCCTACTAAACCTGGGGGCCACCTGCATTTAATTTGACACCAACGGGGCTTCGCCCCCAGCAGCCTTGTACCTCCGGGAACACCAACGGGCCTCGCTTGGATTCGAACCTGGGATCTGCAACTAGGGGTGGGCAACGGGACGGGACGGGATACCCGTCCCGTTTTAAACGGGTACCCAGTCCCATTTGGAGGCCAAAGTCCATCCCATATCCCAAACCCATATGGGAAACGAGTACCCATTACCCGTACGGGATGGATAACGGGTACCCATACTACCCATAAATACCCAAAGTTTAAACCACTCAAATTTTAACAAAAGTTTAAACTTAACTTGTACTTGCTTAACAATCACAAAACACAAATCATGAACAATCACAACGCATAGAAAAAATCATTCTAAGCACCAAATTATCAAATAAGAAGTTTCATTCAACACAAATCATGAACAATCACAACACATAGAAATAAATCATTCTAAGCACCAAATTATCAAATAAGAAGTTTCATTTAACAAAAGGGAGTCTACAAGTATTATGTTCACATAGCGTTCTTTGTTTCTTTACTAAGAAAAGTTTCATCTTTGTGGCGAAGTGGACATTCCCTTTATATGGATTAGAGTTCGCAAATGGGTAAACGGGTACCCACATTACCCAAACGGGTATTTGCGAGTAACCCGCAGGACGCAGGTACCCATATTAGGAATGTACAATCCCAAGTCCCATCCGTTCATAATATTACGGGTAATATGGGTACCCGTAACCCTTAAAAAACGGGACGGGCTACCCGTAACCCTTAAAAAACGGGACGGGCACGGGTATACCCAAATATCCGTTTCCCGTTGCCCACCCCTATCTGCAACTCCCAAGCCTTTACTGTTGCGGCAGCTTTACCGTTAGACTATCTTACCTTTGGTCATTATTAACTAAAATGTTATTGCTTGATATATAGTGAATGTAAGTTATGAACGAGTAATATAACATTACTTTGAAATTTACCACAAATAATCGTAGATACTCTTGTAGTAATAATAAATACAAATAAGATAACAATAATCTCAGAGGGTATAGAGTATAGACTATAGACACTACAGCTGGGGGTAGTCGGATTCAGAGCCCGCCATCCATCCATCCGTGCATACAAAATATTACAACAACAACAATAATAATAATAATAATAATAATAATAATAATAATAAAAAAAAAAAAAGTAACTTAATACAGAGATCTCATCCCGACCCACCTCCAACCAAATTAACCAAAACCAACAAAACCACAAATGAAATGAAAAGTAAATAAAAGAAAAAAAAGGTAGTAATCAATAAAAACCAAGCAGCGCACCACTCTTATCCCCTTCCTTCCTTCTCCTCCGTTCTTCCCTCTTCCATCCCTCCACCGCCAAGCTTTCAGCCGAAGGCTGAAAATCCAATCTGTTGCAGCGCAATAAGAGCTCGGAAGCAGGGTACAAAAAGAGCCCAAAAACCATGATCAAGATATCCGCCAAACCCATATCAAGTCCGGGTCGGGCGGAGAAGTACTACCCGCCGCCATTGATGAGGTTCCTGAGAAGCAATGTGGGGAACAAGAGCCGCGGCAGGTCTCCCTCCAGCCCCTTGTTCGTGAGGAAGAGGAACGCAGCCACCGCTATTGAAGCTCCCGAGCCCTCTTCCCCCAAAGTCACCTGCATGGGTCAGGTTCGGGTCAGGCGGCAGACCAAGAAGAAACGCCTCCGGGGCTCCGATTGCAAGCGCCGCAACTGGATCCCGGACGCCCTCTTCTTCTCCTGCTGCCACGGCGGTAGTTGTAGTAGCCTACGAGGGAAAACGAAGAAGAAGAAGAAGCCCCGTGGCCGCGGGTGCTTCCGCCGCCCGGCCTGGCCCAAGTGGACCCGGTTCTTCCGGGTCGGGTCAAACCGGAAGTCCGAAATCCGCGAGGACAGAAACGACCCGGATTTGGGAAGCTCCTTGGAGGAAGAGGAGGCGAGGTCAGTGGGCGCCGCCAAGGTGTTCGCCTGTTCATCGCCGGTGAATTCGCCGCCGAGGAACGCGCTGCTACTGATTCGGAGCAGATCTGCGCCGTACAGGTCGTCGTCTCTGGCGAGCCGGTTTTGGGGGTCGTCGTCTCTGGCGAGCCGGTTTTGGGGGTCGCCGGTCGGGAGCGAGGAAGAAACGGAGGAGCGGAAACAGAGCACGGAGCAAGACTCGAGCCTGACATCGAAGAGGGAGTCTTCTTCTTTCGAGGAGGAATCCGACAAGGAATCGAGGCTGGATCCGGAAATCGAAGAGACCAGGTTGGGGGTTTTCAAGGATTTCGAAGGCTCTGTGGAGTCGGTGGTCATAGAAATAACAACAGCCGCAACGAAGCTTGAAGAGGAAGAAGAGAAAGTGGGGGGAGTACGCCGAGAGTGCAACGTCGCCGCGGCGGCCGGTTGTGCTGACGAGGTGTAAATCCGAGCCGGCGAGAAGCTGGATCCGGAGGTGAGTTTCTGGAAGAAGAGGAGGTTGGGGTTCACGTAATTTTGATTATTTAATTTAACAATTAGTGAAGTGCCTACTCCTGCAATTAATTAATTAACTATATATTATATGCTTTTGTTGTTTTTTAATTTTTATTTTAGGGGCAATTTAACTGCACATATTCTAGTTTACTTTCCAATGCTGCTGCAGCATTACATTACATATAAAGTTAATTAATTTGTAATGTATTAGCTTAATTATTTATCATCAAAAGAAATTGTAAATCTAATGGGCTGGTTTTGAATAATCAATTAATTAATTAATTATCTAGGGGTTGTATAATTGTACGAGAGAATCTCTACTCTAGCATAAGAAGAAAATGAATATATCTTCCCTCCCTAAGTGGGAACTCAATCTCAAATCTCAATGGCTCTTTCTTTCTATCGCTATCTGAAGTGATGAGTCCACCGCTGGGTGTCTGCACTGTGTTTTTTTGGCAGTTGTATTTATTGCTTGCTTTTGAGTTTTGAGGTATTAATTAATGAATTTACAATCTAGTTTGTTAAATGGGATGAAAATGAAATACTATTTACCGGGGGAAATATTTGACATGTAGAAGTTAATTATTGGCGTAAAAAGGTTTCCTTTATTTGTCTGGTCTGGTCTGACTCTGACGGCTGCTATCAATATGGGATGCTTTTCTATGTAATGGCATTGGATTGGATTGATTCTCTCTGACTTGTTCGCTTGCTTTCTCTATTTTATTAATAGTTGGGGTTAAATAACATTTTTTATCACTAAATTTATTAATTATCTAATTTTTATTTAATTATTTATTGCTATGGCGTTGGCTGATTTTGTATTTGCGTTGCATTATTTGTTACCCTATGGTTCAAATCAATTATCCTATTTTGACCGTTAAGTGAATGATATGGCAATTAATCCGAAAATTGGTTTGGGATTTTCCTCTCTGGCGGTGTAAGCTGAACGGCTACTGAGCTAGCCTACAGGCTGGCTTCAGAAACACTCCAAAAATACCACGCACGGCAGACGCACGCGCATTCCCCTCTGCCTGCCTTTTCCATTTCATTGCGTTGCGTTGGTCTTTTCCGGTGAAAAAAAGGTAGCAAGCAAACAAAACCGCTCTAGTCCAGTAGTCAGCCTCGACCATCATTTTTTGTCCTTTTGATTTGTCGCAACTGTTGTGTTGTGTGCATTGGCTTGGATAATAAAGTTGGGGCTTAGCTTGCATCCGCCTAGCATCTCCCGGTGGTCCGGTCTCTGTATTGAATTGCATCTGAAAGAAAGGGAAAATGAAGTCGAGGAGTCCGATCAAACCTGAAACCTGTATTTGGTCCAATTTCAATTTTGAGCAATGATGGATTAATTGAATTGCTCTCCAACATGAACAAACCACCGCCGGCGGCAGCTTTAAGTCCCCTGTTTTTTGTTGTTTTCCTTTCCTTTCATGCTCTTGCTGCTCCTAGCTACGTTCTAGGTGATTTTTCTTCGGATTGCAAGCGTGTTTTCCTTTTCCAGCCGATATGGCCTTCAAGTTTTCACCTTTTGCTCTTGTTGAGCTTTATGCTCTTCGTTCGTTGATTGGGGTTCTTGTTCGGGGCTTGCTCTTCTTGGGATACGGAGTTGGCAGCTTGGGAGGCTCGTGGTGCTCTGCTTTGGTGGTTGATGTTCCGGGGCTGGTGGTTTCATTTTTTTAGGTGAAGCCATTTCTTACATTTCCCCTTCCGATCTCCCCTTGCTGTCTGAATGTTGCGTGGTCGTTGGTCGGATTGTGGTCGGTGTCTAGGTGGTTTTGGCTGTTGATTGGTATTTCGCAAGAGTTTGGTGGCTCGATTTCGATCTTCTGCTCTCCATGGATTGACCTCTCTATTTGGTGCACTTTGACCCCCACGGCCATGAAATATCATCTACGGTGGCCTGGGCACGCCTACTGGATCTCCCTATCCACTTCTTCCACCATGATGCGGTGATGAGGATAGGGCGCAGAATGGGGAAACCTATCCGCATCGATGGTGCAACTCGGACTAAGGCACGCAGCGACTATGCCCGTGTTTGTGTCCAGGTCGATCTTACTCAACCTCTCCTCTCACAGTTCACAATTCATGGGAAGAAGTATTTCATTCAATATGAAGGCTTGGAAAGAATCTGTTTAAACTGTGGCACATATTCCGAACATGGCTATTGCCCATGCACGAAGACGCATGCACCGATGGAGGAGGAGAAAACAGCTGAAGAAACGGTGAAAGAGACAAGGCCAACAGATGCTATTTATGGGGAATGGATGATTGCAAAACGCAAGTCAAGGCCACCTCGCAAAGAGCCATTAACGCGGACTGATAAGGGGGATACCAATGTCCATCATGGGCACAAAACCCAAGCATCCCATGCAAGCGGTTCCCGGTTCGACGTACTACAAGAGGAAGGGGACAGGGAGACGAGCCCTTGACCAAGTCGGGTAGCGGAGGCAGTTGCCAATGGGAATAATGATAAAGAGAAAATCTACAGCGTAAATCCTGGGAATTACAAGGGGAAAAAAGATTCGGGGTCGAGCCCGACTTGGCCGACAGCAGAAAGGGGGACACTAACCCACAATTCCTCACAGGCCTCGGGTGAAATCCAGAACTCTAGACCAATGCAGACCCAACACTTGTCAAATGCTACGATATTTGAGACTGGGGTTGAATCCAATGCTGCGGGGGGGCCTGCGAATGAAGCAAGGCAGCTACAGTCGAGCAAGGCTGACTTTCAAGCTCCCATGATCGCACATATAGCGGAGAACGAGATCAAGGACAAACCTCCGGACTCGACGCAAACAAATCCGTTAGCCAAGACGCAGCATGCGCAACGGGATGAGATGAATGCCAAGGGGGCGATGATTATTGATGGGGTCAGCCCATCGGCGACTTGATTAAAGGGAGTCTCTTTCCACCTGTGAAAAGAATATTGAATAAATAGGACACACATGACTTTTTTTTGTATAGTTCTGGTGTTGTAGTGATATTAGCCCTTATTTCTACCCAACAAGAATACATAATCTTGGACTCCCTTCTCTGCCCAGTAATGTGTAGTGGAAAAGAAGTTGCAGTCTTGGTGCCAGTATGCTATCCCTCATAATTGGTCTCCATCGTTCGTCGCCTAGGAAGTATGTGGCTCACGTTCTTTGGCTAGCAAAATCTATAGTCATTTTTCTTGTTCCTCTGCTCATTTCCCCTTCTTTACATGTTCAATATTCAATGTGAAGGTCTTGATATTTGGAACAACATATGGTGGCTTGCTCATCATGTGAGCCGCAATAGAGTTGATAGTCTGCATCTGCACAACGTGCATATTTTGTTTGCACGATATCGTACTAGTCAATGGCTAATGTCGATTAGTTTAAAAATTAGGTTGTACTGGTTATGACTCCATACTAGTGGGGGATACATGTGCCTTTTTATTAAACATTAAAATCTATATTTTGCACTAATCATAATTACCAAACGCTAAATTTTTCATAATCATAGTCTAACAATCACAAAAATTAAAATCTAGATTTTGTAGAATCTCTAGATTTAGACTCACATTCTCCAAATGACCCTAAATATTTATCTTTTCCTTCTTTCGATTAGCTTCTTCTGAAAACCCTAACTCGATGAAGAAGATCAACTAGAACGAGAGAGGAAAATGAAAAGATATGTGCAAGATAATTGATAGGGCGAATGCTACTGTGCGCCACCGGTGCGGCTGTTTGTCATTGGTCCACAAGAGCGTGAAGTGGCACAAATTTATTTTATTAATAAGCCCAAATTCGGTCCATGAAACCAATCCAAATCGCAGCTGCCAAAAGCAAACGGAGGATCCTTAACTTCGTCTTCCCACGCCGTTTTGCTATTTTCCCCCAATAATTTTAATTAAATAATTTAACTTTAAATGAATATTTTACCCTAGAAATGAACAAAAAAATCATACAAAGTGACAAAGCAGAGACATATATTCTTCAATCTCGAGCTTCGTCGAAAAGAAACGGTGCCGCCGAACTTCATCACCGATATGATATCGAGTATTTACCATATGCTACGAACAAGGGATTAGTCTAGTGGTAATACTACTAGTCTTGAGTCTGGAGGTCCCAGGTTTGAATCCTTTTTAGTAGTACTTAATCACAAAAAGTAACTTATATCACCCTCGAGTCTATACCATATGCTTCCACTAAACTAATTCACTATACTTCTCTAGTTGCTTCTTATTGTTTCTCAATTTATTCTTTCTAGATACATGAATACTTGGTCACGAGCTGCTTGGAGCTGATCTTGTATCAATTTCAACTGTTTTTGGGTTGCAAAAGCTTCCTCCAAAACGGGTCGACACATGTCAGTCTCTTTCATTCAAAACAACTCAGATACCTTATCGAATTCTTCAATTAATTGATCGTCCATGTTATTCCAGATGATATGCCTATAAAGTGTTTTCACGGAATCTAACACTACACATCCTAAACCTAGCGCGAAGTGTGGCTAGGTGACTCGCTAGAACACAACTCCTAACAATGACCAAGTGTAACCAATGAAAGGGCTTGCAGTATAGTGGCACAAGTAATAATATCGAATCCACGGGTCTCTAGAGTTACTATTACTCAGCTTCAGTTCATTATCTAGCAAACTAGATTAAGGATTGATTAACTAAACTACTCTACTAACTAAACTAAGTAAAACTACTAATTACAGGTTGGAAACTCACTTAGGTATGATTCCCCCTAGCTCCTCAATTATATCCAAGTTATAATTCCTTTTGGTTGCTTTACTGTTGATTAAACTGCGGAGATCCGAAAATAATTTGGAATCTCTTAAGCTGACCAAACCCTCTTAGACAGAATACCCGACAGGTGACTAGCCTTCACCGGGATAGACTGCTAAGGCGATTCGCACATATCTCCACTACTTGGAACAAATTCCAGTACAAAGCAGTGAATTGATTGAATCTCGTACAATCAA